GCGGGCTGGCCGTGGTGCAAGTAATCCTGAAAATATATTTGCATTCATCTTTGAACTGGTAGTATAGCCTGATCGGCAGTGATATTCTGCTATTAGGCTTTGCAGCCGCTGCGCCAGTTCAGTTGCAGAAAGGTTGTATCAATAATTTAATGTGCACCGGTTCGTAGCTTTAGATTAGAATTGAAATAAACCTAAAAATTAAACTAAATGGCTTTTGCTGTTTCGATTGCTGATCAAAATGCTTACTAATTTGCTTTATGAGACTAACAGATTAAAATCACAGTGAGGAAATTGGAAAAAGAAACCGTGATTAAGGGCAGCAGGTTGATTCAGTAATTGATTAAGATCATGCCATCATGGTTTTACTAACTGAAGTCAGAGACGACGACACATGCCTCCAGGCTCAGTGCTCGGGCACTCAGCAGTCGCAGATAGCAAACACCGGTGGCGGGTGACTCATCACAAGTCGTAGACGCCGGTGGATGCATGTGCCCGCCACTGCAGCACTCCTGCTGCCGTCACGGCGGCGCCCGAGTTCTGATCGCCTGTGCGAGAGCAAGACGAATGGGCACGCCGGCGGCTCCACCACACACAAGACCTAGGCATGATATGCAGCAGGCCGGCAACAAACGCATGCAACCAATCGTGTTCGGTTGTTTTGAAGGCCTGGTGGGCGCGGGCGGGCGGGCGTGTCCGCAAAGGAAAGGATGAAACCAACGGGAATGCGGCGTCTGTGGGCCCCATTTGTCCTGGCCGAAAAGTTTCCAACTTTCTTTCCTCTCATCACTGCCAATCTGCCATATCCTTTTTGGAAGCTTATATTTCTTTCAAACTTCTCACGTATTTTTTATACTCCCTCCATCTAGAAAAATTACAATTCTAGCACGGTAACATGGTTCAATATCTTAAGTTCAATCGATTATAGAAAAAATATATTAATATTTATAATATCAAATAAATATTATTATATTAATTATAAAATATATTTTTATAATAAATTATTTTGCAGCTGTAAATGTAAATAGTATTCACTAAAAATTTGATAAAACATAAACCACTGTTGACGGCACGCAACACGTAGTTGTATTTTTTTTTTGGACGGAGCGAGTACATTATTAATTAATTATATCGTGTTCGGTTGTTTTGCCTGCAAGAAAAATCACACCACTTGATTGGGTAATTTCCCAATTAATTGCTCCTGCATGAAGATTGATACGGGATATCCCCTTGATTGGTGTGGGAGCGTGATTGAAGGACGTGATTGGAGGAGTTTGGGAACTGCCTGGCCGGTCTCGCAGCTAGAAAGCGTGCAAACTGCCGGGCGGGCTATGGAGCGATCGGCTTGGTGTCGCCTGGTACGGTGGACGGAATAGATATAGATGTTTTAGTTGTAGCTGAAGACATGTAAGATTTATGCGAATAACCAAATGTAGTGTAGGTACTTATACAGATGGTGTATTTGTTTGTTCTATGTTAACAATTGTACCGCACAATTTCAAAAAACAATTGTATCTCGCACTAATAAAAAAATATATATAGTTGGCCCTAGTCTTTCCCAATCCGTGCGCCTGCCGTACGTAACACACGCACACGCCATTAGTGTGATCCATGGGAGCAGTCGAACTAACTCTCCTCGATCTATTGCGCTAGCGTTGTTCCTTGTTCATTCGGATCATCTGAGACTCAACGCATGTACTATATATAGTAGCACAGCTTGGCTTTAATTTGCATTGGCGTGAAATTATATGTTTGCATATATGCATCATCATTCATCATCGAGGAAACGATGAAGACATGCAGCCGCACAAGCATGTAGATCGACACAACAACTAGCCTTATTACCCTCCCATCCGATATATATGATCCGTCGTCATCATCAGTTTCCGGCTGCATCGATCGCACCCATCGGCCATCATCGATCACCACCACCGTACCTTCCGCCTCCTCCCGCCTGCTTAAACGACCTAATAATAATCCATCCGACTCCGACTCGTCTCCGTTTCCAACCTAGCTATCCATCGGATGATCGATTTCGATTCCACCACCACCATCATCATATACATATATACTTCCGATCTCCTGTCGCCACCGTCGTACCTGCGCCGCCTCATCATATAGTAAGATAATTATTATGGACCAGCTACCTGACGACATGCTCGCCGACGTCCTGCGCCGCCTCCCGCCCAGCAGCCTGGCGGCGTCACGCTGCGTCCGCAAGCACTGGTGCTCCATCATCGACGCTCGCCGCCTGCTGCGCGCCGACCTCCTCCCTCTCCGCCTCGACGCCTTCTACTGCACCAGCCTCGACGCCTTCGAGCAGCTGACATATCTCTTCGCACGCCCTGCTTGGGCAGCGCGTCGAATCCCCGGCGGTTGCCTTGACTTCTTGGAAGATTACATGATTCTGGAAGTGCAGGATCACTGCAATGGTCTACTCTTTCTGTGTGACATGGTGGTCAACCCTGCCACACGCCAATGGGCCAACTTGCCTACCTCCCCGGAACCATCCATTGACGACATGCTTGGTGGGGTCAGGGTCTGGGCCGGGACCACGGCGGATCAGGACAACAACGACGACCACAACTTGTTGTATTCAAGCTATTACCTTGTGTACGATCCCATGGTGGAGTCGCCGCAGCACTTCGAGGTATTTCTTGTCCCCTTGCTTGCCCGTGGTCTGCTGGGCAACCGGGAAAACATCACCATTGACCTTGACGAGCAACAATGGCCTCCATCCACATTGAGAATCCACGTCTTCTCGTCGAGGACGTGGAGGTGGGAGGAGAGGTGCTGGATCCGCCAAGGGGAGCCCGCCGGGACCATGGCTGATATGCTGCAATCTGGTTGCTGGGACCGCAAGGCCGTATATTTCCGAGGAGCACTCTATGTGCATTGTCAAAACGATTCTGTCATGAGGTAGGTACTCTAGTTGGCATCCTTATTATTTTTTATTATACAATTATATATATACGATTTATTTGCTCTAGTGCTAAGTAAACACACATGACACATATATTCATGTTTTTTGTATTTAATTAATTGCAGGATCGCCTTGTACAATGACAAGTATCAAATAATGAGATCTCCAGCAACACCGAGCAAACTTGGTGCTAAGTATCCTACTTTTTACTTGGGAAAATCAGAAAAAGGGGTGTATTCTGCGTTATTTTATTGGGTCGACTGGAGTAGCTGCCCTCAGTTTCGTGTCTGGTTGCTTAAGGAGAAGGAAGAGATCAATAATGGAAATCACATTATTCACATGGAGTGGGTGCTCAAGACTATCATCAGCATTCCACCGCTACATCCAGATAAACTTCCTCTTGTTCAGAGCGGTTTTGCATATGACGTATGGAGGGTGATCCGTAACTATAATAACGAGGAAGTACCACCTGCTGATTTTGCTGCTGATGATGAATGGGACTTTGACAATGCTGACATTGTCTTTGATGAAGCCAAAGATAATAAGGCCCTCGAAGCAAAAGAGCACTACCATGTTGATTTTCTCGGATTTCATCCTTACAAAGAGATTGTCTTCTTTTCTTTAAGATCAGGAACAATATCTTATAATTTGAATACCGCAAAGGTTCAATGGTTGGGTGGCCGCATACATATACCTGTGGGCATGAGTACCAGTTTCCCATACACACCATGTTGGCTGACTTTGGGGGAATTATTTGAAAACAGTTAATATAAGTTGCTGGCTTGTATCAAATAATATTTAAACTTCGGTTGTTTGTCTATTTGGAGCTTCTACTAGCATAAGGGATAGATGTTGATCCCCCGCGCATTTGCTTATAAGTAATATGTAATATACATCTTTTGTCAAATTATCTTTCGTCATGCATATTTTGCTTTCATTTTTATGGTGATAAATAAATATCTCTAGATCACTATATGCATCTCCCACAAAGTAAAAGGCGCACTGAAGTAGGCACGAGCTGGACACTTCTTAAAAAAATGGTGGACACTATTTTAGCTACTTAACTGCACGTACGTTGTCTCTATTCAATCGAAAATGACACGGTAGCATCGGCAATGAATGATTAACGATGAAGACAGTGATTCACGAACGACCACGAGTGTGTTTTGCCCTTGTAGGCTTCCTACAAGCGCAGCCTAATACTAGCTAGCTAGTACGCATTACATAATACAGTTAATTAGTGTTGGACTGAACTATCGGAGATGAAGCATGCATCACATCTGAGCAAGCCAATGAAACTCGCTGCTGGACTGGCAGCTTATGAGCGACGGAGCACACACGGTGTCACACTTGCCTTGGGATGGATGGATGCACACAATCTAGTCCACCCATATAGTTCAACAAACTGTAACACTTGATTTGTTTTGTTCGTTACAGCATAGATAATCATACAAAACCAGTGTACCATTTCTCTAATATAATATATCAGCAAGCCAAGCATCGTACCACCACAAATGAGTGAGTGGTATACAAATTACACAATACAGTGTCAGTCACGCGAAAAAGCTCCAAAGCCTTGTTGCTTGTTACTCGGCGCCATCCCCTGAATGCCTGCAAAGGCACACCATACATTCACTCATCACATGGTGATCGAGGGGCAATTGATTAATCAAGCGATCCCACCTACCTCCAAGATGTCGGCAGATTCCGAGATTTCCGGTCTAACTGGACACTTTCTAGAGCAGCCGATGCCCGCAGCACCTCTTCAGATATATCATCGGCATCGTACCTCCAGTTGTACTCATCTTTCCTTGTGTTATTGGAAGCTGAAGATCCCCCTCTGCGATCTGAAAGTACATGTAGCAAGACCACTTGTTTCAGAATTTGGAACAACACAGCTACATATATCATCATAAACTGGAAAGATTGCACAGCAGTGCACAGACCTGATGCCTGCGACAAAGAGATTGGCCTGGCAATTTCAAAGTAATATATGTCACACTCACATCCAAACATCTAAAGCCAAAAACAAATAGATGTGCATAATTACAGACGCACAGCAGTATGGCATCATGCTTACCTCCCCATAGGAGGCAGGCTCCCAACTGACGCTGATGGTGGCCTCCTCATGCTCCGATGTTCAGCATTTAGAGATGGATCAGACTCTGAACTCATCATCCTCCTGCCACCCATCCTTGTTTGAGACAAATTCTGTCCAAAACAACATATTTAGATGACCAAAGCATGCTGTAGAAAACCAAAACTTTTAAGCTAGAGCATACTAACTATATTTGGAGGTTAACAATTGAAAACTTCTTATTAATAAAGTATAATACGAAAACCAACTTTACTTGCTCAAGGACAGTGAAAGCCAAGCCGGACAAAAAATTAAGATCAAATTTTGCGTGCGCAGTCAACTACAGGTCATATAGGCAGAAAGCAGCATAAATGCAGCTCATACCCCAAGCACCGCAGACTAACAAAAGGAGACCTTGAGCACGGGCCTTGCATCAATAAGTTGAGATTGAAAAATCACATGTAAGCAGATCTCATTACAATGATAATGATAATGCATTGTAAATATAAATCCCGTGGATACAGTGTAAGACAACTGACCAAACTCAGAAAAGAGTATATCAATTTTTATCCATTCTGGTTATTCTAAGAATCATTGTCTACATTCTCCAAATGTTCCAGCTTTCTAGAAAATTTACAAACAGTGAAGATGTGCTTGATCTTGATAAACCTATCTCCTTAAGCTTCCAGAATAACAACACCTACCTTTTGTTCTAAGGCAGCACCATGATGAGTATTATAGTTGTGGCAAGCAATCTATTTTTTCGGACAGTTTGATTAAGCAAGACACCAATAATATGAAGGATTATTGCTCACAACTCAATATACTACCTTTTCTACATACCGATGCATAAGAGGATCCATACTAGTGTAACAAATAGACATTTAGTTGCAGAGTTCTCATAAGACTAATACCTGGCTAAAATGAACGTGGGGCAAATAGTGGTCTAGTACCTAAAACAGATATAGCGGCAGCTAATAGCCAGAGATTTGTGACCTTGATCCATACAGGACTACATAGTTTTGTAGGGAAAAAAGAATTGGGTACATTACCCCAAACACATTTTTTTCCTTTACTGGGGAAGATAAAGAAACAAAAGGATGATTCTTGCTTCTGCTAATGGTAATGCAAGAGATAAACCTCATATTTCAGATAACCTTCAAGAACATCTAAAAGCATTGGACCACTTTCAGCACTCCTGCTCCCCTCAGCTCCACTTTTGTTAGAAAAGTCTTTCAGTTCATTCTTCCAGAAGTCCTTGGGCTGATTTACAAACAAAACGGGGAAACATTACGGATGTTGATTCCTGAAATGCAAAAACGAAATATCAGGAACAGCCACCACTTACCAGGTTACACTCTGGCAAGTAAACTTTCATTGTGTGACTTAGTTGAGCCCACTCCAAGTATTCACATACAAGTGCAGTTAGTAACCTACCTGCAAGCAACAGAAATCCTATAATGTAAAGCCATTCCATGTTATGTGCAGCTTGCAAAATACAAGGCTAAACTTAGTACTGAAAATCATTTTAAGGCTGCACAACAACCTTAAACATTTGAGATATCCTTGATGGGACTTAGAAACAACAAATTACATTATGGAAATGCTTCTTTCAATTATCACCAGTGCAGAAGCATTCAAATCCAAAGACTCACGCTAGTCTTCAATCAGGACTCAGGAGAAAAGCAAAATTGTATCTTTCAAGTTTAGTCCTAAATTGCTTGCTAAAAAATGTCACAATTTCCAGCAGGGAAAAGATTGTCATGCAGCAGAATATCAAGCTTTGTCCTTCTGGAATATTTCAGAACAGTAGTATAAATTTCTATAGGTCAGTATATGAGAGAAAAGGTGTATATGCATATAGCAGTATTCGCTTGATTTCTTTTGTTTTGATAGTGCATCAAAGACAAGCTTTAGCTTCTGCAGACATATTTTATTAGCCAGCACATTCAAAGGGCAAACCTGAAGGTGAAGCATGCAGTTGCTTAGCTCGGTCATTACAGCTACCAAGCAATGCAGGATTCCCGCCATCATCATTCTCTACCACCCGATCCTCCTCTTCAATGGCTTCAAACACACTTGCTCTTAGCTCAGCCTAGTCATGCAGCCAGAAACATCATCAGGAAATTGGTAATGGCAGCTAGAACAACAAAAATGGACCTGGTGAAAAATAAAACTTCTTGAGCAATGCGTGAGCATTCTTTCATATTCCTAAACAAGAACCTACCCAACAGCGCCAGGGCGCTCAGAATGTGCACATTCGAAATTGAAAAAAAAAACAAATGCGCGGATTTTTGGGAAGCAAATTGCGGAAGCGGAGGTGTAGATCCCCAAAGCGGAGGAGAGGAAAAGCTAGATCCGCGGGGCGTGGTGGAGGCACCGGATCAATGGAGGGATTAGGGAAATGAAGAAGTGGGAAGTACGAACCCTAATCTTGGCGAGGACACCCTTCTTCTCGAGGGTGCGGGTAACGAGCGTCTTGAGCTCCATCATCTCCCGGGCGTAATCGTCCATCCCCGCCTGAAATGAAGTCTGGGGATGGCGAGTGGGAGCACGGAGGAGCGGAGGGAGCACGGAGCAGGAGCAGGCACTTCTCCTCAAACAGAGAGAGAGAGAGAGAGAGAGAGAGAGGGTGAAGGGAGATGGAGATCGAAGATGAACACGATAACAACAGAGGTTGGGGAACGGTGGGAGGTGTAGGCTAAAGGTTGACTGACAGGTGGGCCCAACAATTTTAGCTTTTTTATTTCGTATATACTTTAGTTATATATAAAAAAATAATCCTCCATTTTTTTTAAAAAAAAGTATGAGTCTATTTGTCCAATTTACAGCTTCACCTTTTTAGTAAATTATTAAAACAGTTTAATCATATACACCATTTGCATTTTAATATATAGCCTACTAGAACATTTATTTTTCAATGGTATCCATAAATTATGGATGATTTCAAAAAATATAAATAAATATAACCTAACAAAACTAATTTTTATGACAAATATAAAGGCACTTTAGATAATGATACAAATTACTCCTATTGAATTCATATTAAGCATGCCTAAAAATAAGGCACATAGTATTTTCTCGGGAAAAAAATTACACATAGTCCATGTGTTCAACCACCTACCATCACCAAGTGATCATTCACTATTAACTTAGTAGTTCATTGCAAAGTGAACTCACACTTAAGTGTAGATATAAGCCACTGGTTTCATAATTACACCAAAGATAGTTGCCTTTATTTTATTGACAACTCCAAGTTGACACTTTGACATAAAACTACAAGATTCATCATTCATATAGATCTCCTAGCCTACCCTTATTTCAGAATCTCATAACTTGCTTTGGCTGGCTTCCATGTCTACCTAGGGTCTTCTCCAGTTGAGCTAAACTCGTCGAAACAAATAAACTCCATGTTGTAAACAAATTAATATATTTCAAAGGACTCATTTTATTTTTCTATTTGCGGACACGCCATATCCAGATGAGAGCACATCAACAAGATCTAACAACAGCCTAACAACTGAATGACATTACATACTCATATTTGAGTTTGCCTTCGTGCTCGAGGTCCAAGAGGTAGTCTATCATTGTTTTGTAGTCTTCTGTTTTATCTAAGTTCACCTACTTCTAGAGCTAGATCCTTTTAAAACATATGTTGCATTGTGTTAATAAATTTTAAGATATGGACAATATCATATAGCACAAGTAGAACTCACTATCTCTTGAATACAACATGAAACCGTCCATAAAATAGTTTGTGTCGGGTATCTATATCTGGATACCCAGAGACAAGGAGTTAATAGACATCAAGATTAGCGCCTTGGACAGGTTAAGGACACGACCATGGTCTTATCCGACACCATAGGAGAGGACTCCGCCTCGCCCGGCCCTAAGGGCATAGATCTTGTCTAGTCGGACCCCAAGAAGGAAAGTTACGCCTCTCCCGACCCGAGGGCTTGGGCTCTACCTCATCCGGCCCTTGGAGGAGGAGTTCCGCCTCGCTTGACACTCGGGTGTCAAATTCAGACCTCGGGCGGGAGCGCAGGACCACGTGGGGGCCCGCACTGCTCCCAACCACCATTGATGTGAGGGCGCATGTCTCGACATGATCCGAAGCCATGACGGGCCATGCCTGAGACTGCACATCACTCACAGCGTGGAATAGGACGGCACTGTGCCGCCAATCCCCATATGGCTCCCGTTGGAGTCAATTGTTGACCCGCACTGTTGACCATGCCGTCTGCTGGGGTGGAATGGGACACCATGACCAGGGTAGCCACGCCCGCACGTGGTGCTAGTAGAAAACAAAAACGCGACATGGCGCCCATCCCCATCATCGCCTATAGGATCGGCGGGACCCACATGGAGAGTATGGCTCCTGTTGGAGTCAACTGTTGACCTGCAATGTTGACCATGTCATCCGCTGAGGTGGAATGGGATGCTAGGGTGGCCACGCCCACACTTGGCGCCAGTAGAAAATAGGACCGCTACATGGTGCCCGTCCCCATCATCGCATATAGGATCGGCAGGACCCGCAAGGAGGAGGAGTAGGACGATGTCGTCCTGGGAGTCACAACACATAGCAGCAGACACACTACACTCTACTCGCATTCAGAGACTTGGGATCTCCTACCTCTCTCGTCCGTTTGTAACCCCTACTGTAAACTAGAGCCGGTAACACGAGCAGTCTCGACTGGACGTAGGGACATTTTGCCTGAACCAGTATAATCCCTTGTGTCTTCCGTCTCACCATCCGGGCCAAATGCGCAATCACAAAAATCACTAGCCAGTGGTTCAAAACACCGACAATTTGTTTGATGTTTTTTCTCCTATTACACTGCAATGGCATGCATGTTTGCTAGAGAGGGAGAGAGAGATTTTAGACCCATGTGCATATTGCAACCATACAAATAATATACACAATCTTATTTCCATTGCACCCGCATGCATAAAGATGGATTGAGATTATTAATTAGTCCTTGACATACATTATTGTTCTCATCTACGTCATATTCATGCATAGACAAACATGCATCTTCATCATCTAAAAATTTATTTTTTTTGTTTCCTTTGTTCAGAACATATCGGTGTGATTAGCTGCATCAGGAGGAGGCAGTGTATCTCCTATGGCTTCCAATGTATCTTTCAGGGGAGCCTACTCTGGGGGTGTGGTGGCACGAACTAGAGCCCAGTTTATGCCACGGAAGAAGGGGTGTTGTTTGATCTCCATAGCGCCTTCGTAGGAACCAAGCCTATTTGCAGGGTCCTGGTGTAGCAATCGGTATATCAACTGTCTTGCCGCAAGGCTCACCTACAATTAACATATATACATCACAAACATTTGCTACAAGGCTCACCTACTAGAATAAATGATGTTATTATTACCTGTATGCTCACAGGGAATCGATATCCTTATGCAAAATATTAGCAAAGGTCCTTTGTCTTGTTTTCCCTCTGAAGGGTGTATAACCATACAACATCTCATATAGAAGAATTCCTAATCCAACAAAATACTCATTATTATATAATAGCATGTATCATACATGTTTCCTTTAGCACAAAATTAGTTACCTAGTGCCCACCAATCTACGGCACTTGTATGGCCGGCTCCGGTAATAATCTCCTACAACATGCATACAAGGATTGATGTGACAAATGATGATGACCATCACACATATAAAATAGAAACAAGAAATAAAGATCTTGGAAAAAATCACACAAATAAACTGAAATATAACAACATATACATATACATACTGGTGCAATGTACTCCTCTGTACCAACAAAAGAATTTGATGCTCGCATCGGCTCAGCAAAGAATATGGGATTTCCCCTGCTTTTCCTCTTCTTTTTCTTCTTATCATCTTCGGGAAGAAACACCTATCAAGCAACAAGAATAATTATGAAGTGTAACTAAGAAAAATAGACTAACGAGTTAAACTAATAGTCATGAAACTGTCCGATAAGATATATTAATGAAGTGACATTACTTGTGGTCGGCATGATGTCAAGCAAGACAAATCAAAGTCTGTCAAGGAAATGTGCCCATCTCTATGAAGTAAAATGTTCTCTGGCTTTAAATCTCTATAGATTATACCTGAAAAAATAAGAGGGGAGCAAATGCTTAGAAATAGTAAACATCGCAAGTTTCTCTACTAAAATGTGATGAATAAGTGTAAGGAACCCTCCCCCTTTTGTCTACTAGGGAAGCCTATGCCTTCATGAGTGGTTAAATTCATACCTAAAACAATTATTCAAATTGTTGGAAAATAATTACTATTGGTCAAGTGAAACAATATGTTTGTTGTATACTGAGTTGTGTTTGGCTACGCAATACATCCATGTTGCCCACCACCACCAAAGAGAATTTCATTTTATATAATTAGTATGGCACATATGACTACCTTGGCAATGTAGGTATTCAAGCGCCGTGACCACTTCTGCAGCATAGAACCTACAACAATTAATCATGGACAACTACATCAAACAATACATTTTGGGTTCTTATTGTATCCAACTACCAATTATACTATGTAACTAAACAAATTAAAGATCAGAGTAGCATATCCCTGACAATCAAGAAGCATAAAGAGTTTTAACTAAATCTAAGCAAAATAAACAATTTCAATGTCAACGTCAATGCCCACCTAACCGCATCTTCCTTCAGAACCTTCATAGGTTGCCTATCAAGGAGCATAAAGAGTTCCCCGCCAGCATAATAGTCAGTAATAAGACATACATGTGTCTTTGTCTGCGACATATATATATGAAAATTTTGAGATGAAAGAAACCATAATAGCATCCACAGAAGTATAATAAAATCAAGGAGAACAAACATTAACAACCGTAGCATCGTATTAATATATTACACAGTTTCATTATGCAACAAACCTGAAATGATGCATACAATGTCGGAAGGAATGGGTGGTCCAACATATCCAAGATTTGTCGTTCAGCGGTAGCTCTATGGACCTAGAGGTACAGACGAATTGGATGTAGAAAGAAAAACCTAAAGGTGGAACTAACTAAAATGTCATGTGTGATGAAATTTGTTACTCATACCTTGTTTCGGTTAAGCATGACACTTTTATCCATAGCTTTCATGGCAAAGTATTCACCTGTGCCAAGCAACTCCACCAAGTGCACACTACAATTCAACAACAACTCACATGTTAACTATTAAATGTAAATAGGAAATGAAAACTAGACAGGAGTACATCTACTAGATTCATACAAACTAAGTCATTACTATACTTGAAGCTATAATAGAGAAGTACTTACCTGCCAGTGTCGCCAGATCCTAAGGGTCTTACTGGTCTAAAATGTTTCAAATCAATGTTTTCACCATTCTCAAGAACCTACAAGAAAAATAGCATGAACCATCTAGGAGATTTCTAAAAAATGTCACATGTGCTTATTTCCAATGGTTTTCAAATTAGGCATATAATATTGCAGAGACTACCTAATTCTATAGAACAATGCTTGCCAATTGCTTTCTCAAGTGTCTCATATGA